CACAGCCTTCCTGAGGTGCTAAGTCAGCCGCCAACTTATAGAATGTGATATGTTGTTTGTAGACTTGCATAAATAAGGCAGTTAGGACGTTTGAGCCTGAAGTACTGTAACTTAGGGCTAGAGTGCTTGCCTGGCATGTACAAGGTACTGGATTTGATTTGCAACTGCTGTGCAAACAACAAAAGTTAAATAAGATTTTATTGTTCTTTATGGTTAGTGCTGACATTTGAACTCAGAACCTGCTCATGTGCAGATGCTCAAAATGAGCCACGCCCTCAGTCCTTTTTATTGTGCAATCCTCACACTTCTGCTACCCCTGCTTACAGGGTCCAGCTAGTGGTCACATTCATGCTGAATGAATGTTACCTTATTGCCAGAGGGGTTGAAACAATTATAGAGCTAGATAAACTGTATCAGAATAACAGAAGAGAAGCCAGCCCATGCTAATAATGCCAGCTCTCCTAACACTCAGGAGGCTAAGATAGCAGGATCAGAAATTTGAGGCCAACCTAGGCAATTTAGATAGGCACTATCTGAAGATAAAAAGGGGTGGAGACATAGTTTGTTGGTAGAATGCTTTCTTAACATGTGTGGTGTCCTGGATTCAAATTCTTAGTGCTTGGGGGGGGGGGGAAGGTACTTGGTTAGACAAAGTTGTAAGGACTGCAAAGTAGAAGCAAAATGAAGATGCTGCTCCTGTTACACCTTTCTTGCTAAGGCAGTGTTGCACAGTTACTTTTTCACAGGGTACATTTAAGTTATGCCACCTGCTCAGTATCAGCCCACTTACTGTACACCAGACACCTTCTGCCCTCCTGAGGCCCTCCTGAGTCCCTTGACAGTGTCATAAGCTGTGTGCCAACTAGTTTCTAGAACACAGTACTGGCTTTGGTAGGGTGCTTTACTCTCTTTTTCCTTTTTCTTGACAGTTAGTGCACAGCACTATTATAGTAGCTAGGTCAGTTTTGGCCTGGTGTTAGGGTTAAGGAGTAACTCTTGCTGGAGCTTAGAGGGAACAGGAAGTCTCAGCAGACCTGGCCCTGGCCCGTCTTGAGTGTTTCCCTGGCCTAGTGGGTACAGGCCCAGTCGGTCCTGCAGAGCCCCCTCCACAAGGCATGGCTGGTCGGGCAGAGTGTGCCCAGGGCAGAACTGGGTGGTTGGCATAGCTGTTTTCATCCTCCAGGCTCAGAACTGTGCCTTGTATATGCCAGTGCCACGTTTTTCTCCATCATGCCTAATTCCAAAAGATGGGGAAACAGAAACTCTACCTTCCACAGTAAAATGTAGCTCCTTCAAAGTGACAAGGATAGCTGGGGAGATAGCTCAGTAGAATAAGTGCCTGCCTGGGAAGCATAAAGTCCTGAGTTCAGTCCTGTACTTAGGGAGGTAAAGATAGTAAAATTGCTTTGTTCTTGAAAGTTTCCAAAACAAAAAAAGTTTCAATCTATGTTTTTATCCCAGTACTGGGCACTGAACCCAGGACCTTGGCACTGAGTGACATCAGCCCATTTTTATTGTTTTAGTTTACTGAAAACAGGATCTTCTTTATATAATGCAGGCTGGCCTTAGATTTGCAGCAGTCCTCCTACCTCAACCTCTGGACTTTCAGGGTGTTACAGCAGGCATGTGCCACCTTACCTGTCTTCTGTCTTTGTTTCTATCTTCGTTTTTTTGAGAAGGTCTTGCTAAGTTGCTCCATTTCTTAGGCTGAGATGGAATTTGAGGTCTTGCTTCCCCAGCCTCCCAGAGAATGTTGAGATGTGTGTGTCACCATGGCTAAGTGGTTTTTGCTTTTGTATTAGGCATTAAGCCCCAGTGTGTTATACCACTGTGCTGTATTCTCAGCTACTTTATTTTGAGAGCGTCTTGCTGAATTGCCCACACTGGCCTTGAACTTGCAATCTTGCTGCCTCAGCCTCCCCAGTAGCTAGGGTTACAGACATGTGACACTGCCAGGCTGCTGCCTGCTCTTTAAAATCTTCCTATTCAGTGGCCTGTTCAGTCTCTCCATCTGCCCAGCCTCCTGTGCAGCGCATGGGGTGGGAGTGGGGGGCTTCTGTTGCTGCCGTTTTCAGATCCGTGGGGCTTTCTTCACTGAAGTACCTGCTGCAGACTCCCACTGTCCACCTGAACATGTGGTCTATGTTGCTTCCAACTCTGATGTATTGGGTCAGGTGTTGATGTGCTCCTTTCTGCTGACCACGTCTCACCCAGTAAGGAGCTGCCCTAGGCTGGAAGAGAATGCCCAGTCCACCTGCCTGCCCTGAACACAAGTTCCCCTGGCTTTTTCCTGGCTCTGCCTGCTGAGCGTCTCCTCCTCATACTCCCTGATGCCGAGTCTGGCTTGAGTTCTTCTCCCTACACATGGTGTTTCCCGTGTGCTGCCTGGCACCAAATGGCAGTAGGGTCTCATTCTCGGCTGTGTCACCTGTTCTGTTCTCAGAGTGGAGGTGAAGCACACAGGACAGCTTTTCTTTTTTCTTTCTTTTGTATTTTTGGGGAAGGGTCTTCAGGATGTTCAGGGTCTCACAGCTATATCAGACTCCTAGTAATCTGCCTGTTTACAGCCTCCCAAGAGCTATGATTACAGGTGCCCGCCATCATGCCCAGTCTCACTTGCTGTCTCAGTGTGCCTCAGGGGCGGGACCGGCATGGCAGGCCTGGGAATCAAATCCTCAGCCCCTGTGCCTGCTTGCAGGTGCTTTAATCCACTGAGCTATTTGTCAGGCCCAGGATAGCTTTTCTTAAAGCTACTCAGGGCCAAGAGAAGCTCAAGCTCCTTCACTGGAGCTCTCAGGAGACTAACCAGACCTGCAGAGCAAGTAGCTCCAGGTGTGGCACTGGTGTTGCCTCTTCTCCCTGGAGTGGGTGCAGCTTGTAGGTCGCATATAGGTCCACTGGGTGATTTCTTCCTTGTCCTTGCTGCCCAGGAGCCCTGCTTCTGAAAAGGCACCATGGTTGCACAAAGTTGGCTGGCAACAGCAGGTCAGCCCCAGGAGAGCAAAGCTCCTGCCCCTTGTACAGTGCCAAATTTTTAGTCCTGCTGAGGAGTAGAAACTCAGGTAGATGTGAACTATGAAAAAAATTTCAAATGGCATTCCTCCTTTCTGGCTTCCTCTGCTGGGATGTGTGCTGTATTATCTGAGTATTCTTTCTACCACACTTAGCTTCATAAACAGGGTAAGTATCTGTGGAGTATGCTTTTATATCCCCAGTATCACAAACAGATTGGTTTGATTACTAGCCATATAAAAATGAGCTTGTCATCAGGTAAACTATTCAAAATGTGGACGGTAGAGATGATCTTGTGATGTGTAATGCTATGCTAGAATATTTCCTGGTAAGTTCACATTTCTAATGTAAACTAGCTAGGGCACAACCAATTTATTTGTATACCTATAAACTTGAGCTTAAAACTAGGTCAAAATAAATTTGTTTTAGTCTAGTAGACATTATCTAAAAGACTACACTGTGAGTACTGCATAGCATGTTAACCAGTTTTCATATTTGGAACTTTATTTATTCAGTTTATCAAAATATGAATTCAGGTTACTTATTGAGAAAGTTTTCATGAGTTTAGAAAAACTTTTTTTTTTGTACTTTAGGGAAGGGTCTACAGGGTGTTCAGGGTCTCACTACTAGATTCTACTCATAGTGATCCACATGTTTACAGCCTCCCAAGAGCTGACATTACAGGCGTGCGCCACCACTCCCAGTCTCAATTGCTGCACGCCCTGGAGGCTGGGCCGGCACGGCAGAATCCCTGGCCCCTGTGCCTGCTTGCAGGCTCTTCAGTCCGCTGAGCTATTTGGCCAGCCCTTAGAAAAAACTTTTGATACATGTTGCTATTTGTGCAAGAATAATAGTTTATGAAAGTACAAAAAATTATATATTGGGGCTGGTGAGATGGCTCAGTGGTCTAAAGCACCTACTTAGAACAAACTTAGCAAAGCACAGGGACCATGGTTCAATCCCCCAGCCCCACATGCCAGCCAGCC